CGATACATGGCGCGCCTCACATCAACCCGGCAGCGCGCAACCTACCCCTGCGCTTGTGACGTCTCGCGCTCCGATAGGCTGCGGGCAACTCGGCCCCGCCTGCCCGCGCCGGGAACGCGCCGGCGCGCTGACGTCACGTCCTTTCCTCCTCCCGGCAGCCGTTCGAGATGGCGGACACGCAGGTAGGTGCCGGGCCTTGGGGCCGAGCAGGCCGCGCGCGCCTCGCGTGAGCCGTGCCGCCTCACCCCCCTCTCGCCTCTCTCTCGCCCCGGCAGACGGAGCGGGCCTACCAGAAGCAGCCTACCATCTTCCAGAACAAGAAGCGCGTGCTGCTGGGGGGCCTGTTTTGCAGGGGTGGGGGTGGGGAGGCCTCCCCCACACGGGATGCTCGCTGACGTCACGTGCCCACGTGTCCGCTTGCAGGCCATCGAGGGCACCTACATCGACAAGAAATGCCCTTTCACCGGGAACGTCTCCATCCGCGGACGCATCCTGTCCGGTACGTGGCGCGCCGTGAAACGGTGACCCCCACGGGATGCGCACGCTCGTGCCGGTTGCACAATTGCACGTCTAGCGCGCGTCCGCGTCGCTTACGACTGTGCTGCGCGGGAGCTCGGAGGGAGGGAGTCGAAAGCTTTTTTGTTGTTGTTGATTCGTGTGTCTCTTTTTGTGTCGTCGTCGTCCTCGTTCTCCCAGGTGTGGTCACCAAGATGAAGATGCAGCGTACCATCGTCATCCGCAGGGATTACTTGCATTACATCCGCAAGTACAACCGGTTTGAGAAGCGCCACAAGAACATGTCGGTGCACCTGTCCCCCTGCTTCAGGTGAGCGCCGGAGGTTCGCAATTCACCTGGGTCGTTGCTAGTGTTACCTCGGATGCACAATAACGAGGGATTGGTCCTGGAGATGGCACACGGTGACGTTTGGATGCAGATTTAGCATCAGGATTTGATACCGGCCGTGTGGGGCTTATCGCACGAAAAATGGGAGTAAGGTTTCACCTGTCTTTATAGGCTGGGGTTGTCAGGAAGTCATTTTGGTACGGTACCTACAGCATCAGGGTCAGTAGAAAGTTGATATTTTAACGCAGGGAGCTCGCCCTTCTGCGCCCGGCACGTGGGGTTGGTCCACGGGTGTGATCTGGCGCGCGTTGTCTGCTCTGCTCGCCACGGGCCTGAAAACTTGGCAGCGGTTCATCTACAGGTAACGCAGTGACAGCTGCCAAATCTTCAGAGCTGTGGGGTGACCCAACCCAGGGACTGGCTGACATGGCTTTGAGCACCCTTGACCTTCATGCTTAAAATAAATGTGATCGGGCTGCAATCTCCAACCCAGAAGCCGCATCTGGCCTGCAAAGCCATGCCAGCCAGAGGATGAACAAGTGGCCTGTCAGAATAGAAAGACGTGGGCTGAGCTGCTGGTGGTGCAGACCTTGAACTTGTTTACTGGTGATGATGTCTAAACTCACGATGGTCTGCAGAGCCCCTCCTGTGCGCTTGGGGGCTGCTGAAAATGCCAATTGAGCTCTTGCTGAACCATAAAGCACGTTCTGGTCTGCCTTCCCTGTGTCTAATGCTTCCTGGTGTGCGAGCTGTCCAGAAATTCAGCCTGCTCCTGCCAGGAAACTAATTTGTAAAATTATCTCCCTTCATGAGACCCTGTCCAACAGCATCCTGGGTAAATGCACATAGTTAGGACACCACTCCAAATGAACCAATCTTCACCAGTCTGAAGTCTCTAAATCTTAACACCAACTTATACAAAGTCCACAAGTGATTTTGGTAGCTAGAGGATAAGGGTCAGTTGAAAGTTGGTAAGACAAGGGCGACTTTTTAATGCAGGGGGGGCTCAATCTTCTAGCCCCACAGGCTGCACCCAGCACATGGGGTTCGTCCACAGGTGTGATCTGGTGCGCGTGGCCTGCTGCATTCACCACGGGCCTAAACATTTGGCAGTGGGGGATCTACAATTAATGCTGAGATCACTCATCTGCTGCCAAAATGTAGCGCGTTGCTGCTCTAATCCACATCCATATTCTCCTCCTCCTGTTCTCCCATCTCCGTCCACCTCCATATTGCTGCTCTCAGGGTCATTCTGGGTCCCTGGCTCCGTGGGGACACTGGATGCTGGTCAACCTACGGCTCCACGCGCAGGTTGGGCAGCTGCTTCCATTGTCCCCTGGGTTATGAGCTGACCATTAGAGCAGGAACCATTGTTCAAGTCTGAAATCAACCCGCAGAGACCCGTCCCCAGGAGAATGGGCAGAGAGCACAGGGGTTGGCGTTGCTCAGGACAGGCCCCAGGGTGGAGATATCCAGCCTTGGACACTGTTTACAGCATGCTTGGAAGCAGCATTTCAGAGCAGAGAGGTCCCTGGGCCTCTTCCATCCCATCCTGTGAACCCGGCTGTTCCAGACTTGCCTTACCCCATGCAGCTCTCTTGATGCCTGTCCGCCCTGGTGCAACAGGCTGGGCAGTTCGTAGTACTCTGGCCCTCTACATGTTACATATATCTCCCAATTACTGACTTAATAGTGCAATTAATGTAGACTGGCTAAACATTCAAATGAATTACCTTACAGCTGCATATGCTGGGTCCCAGGGCACTGCTAGGATCTCGAGGCCCCTGTGTGGTGCTGTGTGGCTGGGACATTGCAGCAGCTGCTGGAGTTTGCGTCTTCCTGACACGGGAGCAGCCTGGGATTGGGCCCCCCCTGCACCGGCAATAAGATGTAATGGGATTTAATGCGTGATCTCACAAACTTCTCCTGCCGTACACATATGGCACATGTGGCATGGCAGGAGGCACAATTATGTGGATTGCCCATTAGATCCCATCACTCTTTAGATGCATGTGTAGAGGGGCTCACAGGGAGAGACTGGCACAGTTCCCAATTTTAAGGATTTAGTGATAGCTAGTTCCTTCCTTACTAATGAAAGGTGCGAAAAATATTCACATGCATGAAACCTGCCTTCCTGTGTTTGAGTCATATTTGTTCTGTTCAGTCCTATTCTGCTTCCCCTCCTGCAGGACTCAAGTCATTAGTTCTAAATCTTTTTAAAATGTTGTCTCATTTGTACCCCCTCCACCCCCTTTGCCTTCCAGAGATGTCCAAATTGGAGACATTGTGACTGTGGGGGAGTGCCGTCCGCTCAGTAAGACTGTCCGATTCAACGTTCTCAAAGTCACAAAGGCGGCTGGCACCAAGAAGCAGTTTCAGAAATTTTAAAGGCAGCTAATTGGGAAACCCAGGATCAATAAATCTTTTGTTAAAACTTAGGCCCGTGGAATTTTTTGAATGAAGAGGGTGGGGGTGCCATCTTTGACCATGAAGCAAGTGTATTTTTAGCTGTTAAACCAAGAAGCTGTGTGGTCTATTCAGCAAGGGCCCTCTCCCCAGCTCCTCTACGGTCTTTAGTTGCCTGAGGAAGGAAGCTATCTATTGCCCTTTTCACTCGCGCTGTAGTGAGCGAAGAATAGAGCAGGGTCCTGGTTTTAGATTGTTGCACTGCCCTTGCCCAAAAAAGACTTGGGGGAAGGGGAGAGGGAGGGCACATCCCCAGGAGCCTGCATGTGTGATTTGCAGTGCTGCAGACACGTCTGTGGTGTGAGACGCCCATAAGCAGCACTGCACACCACGTGGGTTGCACATGCAGGCATTCGCCATATTGCTGATTTGCAGCACAGTGGGTATTTCTTGACACGGGAGATCCCAGTATCAGAAAACTCACAGCTAGGATCCTAGGTAAGGCTGCTGGGGCCAGCCCAGGTGCTGGCCCCAAGTTTTCCTACCTACCAGCTGCCAGCGAATCTCCCGCTGAAATTTTTCACAACCCTACTGGATAGTTTGGGAGCAACCTTGCAAACAGCTGCCAGGGATAATACCCAAAACAAATTGACTTCTTCCCCCTGGTAAAGCAGGAGGCATAGGGTGGACTGGGAGTGAGCAGGTGTGGGAGCATGGGGCCCACCAGTGTCCCGGGACCAGTGCTGGTGGGGCCAGAGCAGGAGTGCAGGGTCCCAGACAGCGGGAGCTCTGGAGCCAGGACCAGAGCCAGGGAGTCAGCAGCTGTTTGCAGGCTGCAAGGTTCTCAACCTTTTCGGTCTCCAAGAGAAGGCTGAGAGGGGACCTTGTGGCGGCGTACAAATTCATAAGGGGAGAGCAACATGAAGTAGGTGACGGACGACCTGTTCACCTGGGCACCCCCTGGAACAACAAGGAACAATGGCCATAAGCTACTGGATGTCACAACCCAAAGTTGTGGTTTTTTGTTTGCGTGTGCTTCGGCACCGCTAAATTATGTTCCTGCTAAATTGCAGCTCCTTTGCACGGTGGAGTTTTCTGCTGCAATAAGAGAACCCGCGTGCAAAAGAGTATTTCCCACCAGTTTGTAGCCTTCTTTGCATGGTGCATTTCTTTTGCATCTAGGAGATGCACAGTGCAAAGGAGCTCCCGCCATTTGTATTAAGATTCGAGCCACATTATTGGTTCACGTTAAATTATGTACACGTGGCGGCTAGTGATTGGCTTGCTAGCCGTATAAAGAGCTTGGGTAGTTTCCGCCCAAGTTGGAGAGAGAGAAAGCAATTGGAGTTCGGGAGAAAGAGCGTGAAGATCTCTAAGCGCTGCTGATTTCTTCAAACCCAACTTTTTCCTTAAGAAGGCAATAGAGGTTTGATTACCGAACCGAACCCGCGGAGCCTTAACAACTCCGGGGCCAATTACCGAACGGCCTCTAGCCTCTCCCCGTCACCGAGCACAATCCTAGACATATCCCTTCCTATTGAAACTACCGAACCCGCGGAGCTTCAATAACTCCAGGGCCAATTGTCGTAGTCCTCTAGCGAGGATTTAAGCGGAGCTGTGCCCGGGAAACTGTCCAGCCTACACCAAGACCATCTTTGGTGTAAGTAAACAATCTTTTAATCAACCATTACGCATCCGTGACTAATTCTAGCTCCCACCGGTCTTCTTCGATCCCGCGTGCCCGGGCTGCTGGCCACAGCCCACGTGCACAAAGACGGGTCCGCATACCGCTCCCGGCCCGCTCATGGCGACATGGATGGGTTCGGGAGGCAGCCCACACACTGGAGAGAAGGTTTAGGTTTAGGAGAAAGTTCTTCACCATCAGGGTTGCCAGGATCTGGAATGAGCTCCCAAGGGAGGTGGTGCTCACCCCATACTTAGGGGTCTTCAAGAAGAGACTAGACAGGCACCTGGCTGGGATCACATGACCCCAAGGTTGGTGACTTTTTTTTGCCTGCCAGGGGTAGGGGGTCGGACTAGGTGACCCACTGAGGTCCCTTCTGACTTTAAAATATAAACTATGCACTTCATAGATTCATAAATACAGCTTAGATGATGTCAGCAAACTTCCAAATCCCCTTGTTGCATGGTTGAAAGCTGAAGATATGCCTACGGCAGGCAGGCAGCCACGGGGATGAGGCTGCTCAAGTCTGACTAGCAGCTGAGGAGCAGAGTGCCCTGAAACCGTATGGCACTGCCCCACGGTTGGGGTTGGGGGGGATGAGTGTGTGCAAGTGTGTGTGCACACATCTGTGTACATCATTCCCCCTACCCCCCACTACACAGTACTGTTAATTAAACTTTCCAGGGGTAGAGTTTTTTGCCAACCCATGTAGTACATCATCATCTACTAAAATAGAAAGTATTGTATGCATGTTAAAAACGTCTTATAAATAGGACCATTACTTCTTAAACATTTCCCATTTAAAATCAGTTACAACTAGAAACCTTAGGTGCTCCTTGACAAACTTCCACAAATTAAAGTAACTTCCTTTGTCTCTACTACAGTACTGGGGGATTAGGCATACCATAGTTCACGTAGGTCAGTCAAGCTCTATGCATCCACAAGGTTTTCTTCTGTTTCTTTACCGTAACTCGAATACTAAATATGCCTTTTTCTTCCATGGTTTCCCTCCTATAACCCTCACCTGAGCAACAAGCTTATGCTAGTTTTTGTCACTCCCTAAAGCACATTTTCCTTCTGTATAGGTAAAAAGTTACTCAGAGGGTTAGTAGTCTGAGGGGTAATTCTTAATTTGGGCAAAGATCCGGCAGAGCACGATTATAGCAGAAACCAGAACCTAGTGCGGTCACTCCTGGCGTGCTGTGCTGAGCAGTTACAGCAGGGATGTCTACACGAGACACTTTACTCAATATTAGAGCACGTTACTGTGCAATAAGGATCACTATCTACACGTGCAGATGCTCTTAACCCTCTTAACATCTTCCACCACTGCACCCAGACACATGAGTCCTCCTACGCCTGCCACGACTGCAGCAAGAGCTTCACTAAGTGCTCCACCCTCATCACCAGGGATGATGGTTTTCTCTGATATTTAAATCAGGGAGATTTGGGATTTTTTGTTAAGTAACCCACATTTATTTTATTTGTGGTGTTCCATCTTAATCCAAAAAAAGTCGTGGCACCCCATCTCAGTGGGCCGCGTGCCTCAAAAACTAACGACTAAATGGAGGGAAGGATTTTTAAATCAGCCTGTAAGCTAAAGCAGTATAGTATCCACCATTTTATTATGAATAATGAAGAGAAAGAGGCAGTTGTAGCGCAGTTTAACAGAACGTTAAAATCAAAGATGTGGAGGTATTTTCCAGCCCGCTACCTGGACGCATTACCAGAGTACGGCTGGGGCTGAGAGTCCTTTCAGCTCTGGGACTCGCAGTCTCGGCGCTCAGTTGTGAGAGAGAGAAAACTGGCGCTGTACCAAGCAGCACATAGGGCCAAAGCACAGACTTGCATGTCCACCATCTGGAGCTGCAACAACAAAAATGGATGCGATACACATGCACGAAGGCGTTCCCAACGCTCCCTGGGAGCACAGTGCGAATCACCTCACCGTGCAGCGTGGCACAGCAGTTGGGGTTAGGGAGAGCCAAGCCCAGGGCGTGCTGGGGCTGCTGTAATTTCAGGGACAGGTTTTAGCTCTCTACCACCATTCACACCCCCCCACCCCCGGTTGCAGAGGCAGGGAAGCAGGCCTTATCACTGCGTCCTAAATATGCCCTGGCTGCATGAGAAACCTGGGATCTGGGCAGGACGTGGGGTGATTTCGGCTCTGAGGAGCTTTGCAAGCTCAGTGCAAGACTCCTTGCAGGGCAGCTGCCAGAGCCAGCCGGGCATCCAGCCCTAAAACCCCTCCGTGGGACCCTGGCCACCCCGGGCTACTACCGCATGAACTGCAGGACCCATGAGGCTGAAGCTGGCTCCTTATTCCCAGGTTTTTATTCCCAGCTCCTTATTCCTCACTCCTTATTCCCAGCTCCCTTTTCCTAGCTCCAAAATCCTGATTTCCAGTTCTCTTTTCAAAGCGAATCTATCCCCAATAAAAGCTGCTTATTCATGCATTATACATAACAAAGGGAGACAATTTCAGCAGCTCTGTACATTTACTCATTAATGTGAAAAATCATATCCGGCATCAAGCACAGAGCCCTAAATCGAGATTGGATTAGGATGGGATTATGGGGGAAAACATGTCTTGGTACATCACAAACTTCACTGTTGCTGCCACTGGAGGACTTTCCCGAAGCACCCTGAGCGCAGCCCTGCCCAGCAATTCAATATATACCAGCAAAGCGCCCTGCAAGTGACGGGGACCGAGCCCCACCACCCACCGTCCTGCGCTGCTGTCCCTCCGCGCACGACTCCCCACCCCCACTCTGTGTGTGCGCCCCCCAACACCTGACACACACACACACACACACACACCCCCAGCCACACAAAACATGGCACACGCACACATGCACACACCTATCCATACACACCCACCCACCCAGCTGCATGCCACACACACCCACACACACTCACCCACCTAGACACGCCCATGCCACACCCACCCACATGCCACCCATGCGCACACACCCAGCCACAAGCAACACACACCCAGCCCCAAACCCACACACCCATATGCCACACACATGTGCCTCAATGCCTGGCCCAGCCCACCCCGTGGCGGGACTCACGTGGCACCAGCAGGAAGGAGGGAGCGTGAGGAGGGGCGTGGTGTGCGTCCCCACGGTGCTGCGCTCTCCATAAACTCTTTATAAACTCTGGTAACTCATCAAGGCAGTGAAAGGTGTTGTGGGCTGGAAAATACCTCCAAATTTCGATTTTAACGTGCTGTTAAAAATTCTTCCCGCCGGTCAGCCATTAGTTTTCGAGGCACACGGCCCACCGAGAAAATGCTTTTAAAGGCATCGGATATTTCACCCGCTGACTTGTCTTATTATCCAAGCATGCCTGGGCCTTGGGACTAAATGTCTATCACCATTAAGATGTACTTAAAACCGCTGCTGTGTTTGGAGAACTGTTGCATATCCACCAAAGCTGCCTGCCATTGTACATCCACATCCGAAACAACTGTCTTGTTTCTTTTCAAATGTCTTCTGGCCAACTTGCGTTGGGTGTCACACCTGATCTGAAAGCCTGGCAGTCACCTGGCTCCTGTTCAGACTCTAATTCCAACTTTTGGCCACTTCAAAAAGTGCCAGGTTCAGTGCTTGTTTAAGGCTAGGATGGGTGGTTCTGGACAGATCTCTTAAAGAATTAGGTCCTCTACTATGGGTTGCAATTGTTTGAGGATTTCCCATATAAATTCCAGGGAAGGATGGTATATCATAACTAATGGTGTGCATTTCACGGGGATTTTCTTTTTGCATTGTAGCAAATCTTCACGTGGCACCCGGGTGGCTCTTTCAAAAGTGGGATCTCTCTCTCTCTGGAGGAGTGTCCTTGTTGGGTGAAAGCCCTTTTGAGATTTGCAAGGTGCCAATTCCGGATATTTTCCCCAGTGCAAATTCAGTGGTATTGGGGAGCTTGGCTGTAAAAACAACTTTTTCTTGTGTTTAGGGTGATTGTTGGTTCTGTGAAGATAGGTAAGTTGGTCTATGGCTCCTTGTATATGGTGGTTTATATTATATCCTTCTGCATATTGATCGTGGTGTCTTAAAAAGGCATGTGGGTGTTGGAGTAGTCAAGAGAGAGTCTGATGGAGAGTTGCTTATTGTTGAATTTGTGTTGGAAATCAATCAGGGACTGCAGGTTTTCAATCCAAGTTAAGAAGATGGCATCTATATATCTAAGGTAGAGCATGGGTTTGACGATGCGGTTCTTGAGGAATTCGTCACATCTACCCAAAGACCCTCAATAACCTATAAACAAACAACAAATATATAACATCAGGAACTGGATGCAGAGCACAACACACAAGCACCATCGATGAGCACTACCCCTATGCAAAAGGGGCCTTTGGATAACTACAGCAGTAAGCTGTGCATATAGTGGTTTTTGGTGCAGTAGTTTTGGAGCTGCAAGAGACACAGCTCCCATCCCCTGCCCTGACATTAGTAAGGCCATTTGGCAAGAAATCGTTCGAGCAAATGTAACCCGGGTACACCCAAGGGTGTGCCCTGGTCTCAGTTGGATGGGATGGGTCTGCTGTGAGAAGCATGCCAAAATTTCGAGCGGATCCCTCTTTCCTGTATAGAGTTGGCCCAAGCCCAACGTTCTCAACTATATACAATTCATTGAGTTATAATATACATAGACATAAAACTAAATATCATATACATATAATTACACAGTGAACACTAACCAGTCACCAAGGTCAAACCCTAAATAACACTGCTGGGCGCTGGGCCTCACGCTGCCGCACTACTATTTCCCCGTGCCCTGGCTTCAGCACTGAGGGCTCTCTTAGCATGGGCCAGGCCCTTCAGGCTCTGGCTGGTCATCCTCATGCCGGGTGCTAACCTAAGCAGCCTACGCTGCTCCCTGGCTCCCAAGGCTCGGGCCCATGCACCACCCGGTGCACTGTGGGACCTGGCTGCTTGCTGGGAGATGGGGCCTGAGCTGCCTCACTGCGGCCCCAAGGCCTTTGCCCCGTGTGCTGCCCCATGCACCATGTGGCCTGCTGGCCCTGCCAGGGTTGCAGGGTCGGGCCGCCACTTGCAGCTCCCAAAGTCTGGGCTCCATGCACCGAATTGCGCACCGTGATGGGCCCATCACACCACTCCCAAAGCTGCTCCTCCAGTGATAGCTTCAGGAGCCTTGGGCCTGTTGCCCGCTGGGGGAGCGCTCCCCAGCTGCTCCTGGCTCCACTCTGCTCAAGTCCCTCCCCGCGTCTGCCCAGCATGCCGAGCACGCTGGGCTTTTATTTACACCGGAGGCCCCGCCCCTGACGCCCGCCGGACCTGTAAAGCGCAGTCTCCAACCAGGTCCAGGGGCTCCTCGCATCCCCCACCCCCCCAGCAGGTACCCAGGTCATTTAGTTGATTGTGGAAATTTTAATCTAGAACTGGTTAAAAGTGAGCCAGCCACTTTGTTAATTTTTGCTTTAAATCAAGCGAAGCTTTTTTTTTTTTACCGTGAGACTGATTTTGAGAAGTTTCTGACTTTCAGATTTTTCCACGCAAACGTGTGGTGCCTTTTTTCAGTCCTTTCTTGTAAAATGTTATCGCCAACCTTATAAAACCAGTTGCTTCACTGAAAGCTGGCCCTTTGGTACCTACATTTCAGTTAAAATTGTGAAAAGGTCACATTTCCAAAAGAGAGAACATGCTTTATCTGGAACACACAGACCGTGGGCATTTTTCACAAAAGTCAGGTTTTGGTTTTGGCCAGTTCTAGTGGAGACCAAACTGCATTACACTTGCACCCGAATTTTTTTTTTTTAAATTAGGGATCGGTGTTATATTTCTAATTCAGACTAAACAGCTTAACAACTGTGAGGAGTGTCCTATATTATCATGCACATGTGTTAGTGATTCTTGGATTGGGGCATTGGTATTTATGTGGAATAATTTTGGTAATGTGACTAACTATTGCTTTATAATACTGGAAAGCAGGAGTTGGAAATGTAAGTGAAAACTTTTAACCAGTGAATAACATTATTTTATGCACTATATCCCTTCCCTAGCTCTTCTATCCTTTCCTTCCCTTGCACCTGTCCCTTGCCATAGTTTTCTCTCCATCTGTTTGCATTACATTGCTTACTGCGTACAGTAGCACAGACGAGGTGTGAGATCCTGAGGAGGCTAGGCACTGATGCGCTTGGAAAAGCTCACGTGTTATTCCCTCTTAAAGAGGCAGACAAGGGTCTTTGGGTAAATCTGATATCTTTTATTAGACCAACTTAAATAGTTGGAAAACAATTATTAAGCAAGCTTTCGGGTTCAAAAACCCTTCGTCAGGCTAAGGAAGTTTCAGCAGTCGGTGTGTGCTCTTCCTGGAGGGAATGAAAAGTAAAGAAGCCAGAGGCTGGGCTGGTGTATATATTAGTAACATTTCATTTTAATCACGGAAAAATGTGAATTTTGGGTTACTTTTTTAAAATCAGAAAATCTGGGATTTTTTTAATCAGAGAAAATTAGCATCCCTGGTGAAACTCTTGCCACAGTTGGGACAGGTGTAGGAGCACTCACCTGTGTAGGTGCACTGGTGGTAGATGAGGGTGGAGCGGTCCACAACCCAAATGGGGTTAAGCTGGTAAGCATCTGCATGTGCAGGCAGTTGACTAACTTTTGACCAGTTTTAAATTATTGCACAATAATATACTCTAATCTCAAGTCAAGTATCTCATGTAGATGTCCCCGCTATAGCTGATCAGTACAGCAGGCCAGGAGTGACAGCACTAGTTTCTGCTATAACCATGCCCTGCTGCATCTTCACCCAATTTACTACTACTAACCCTCAGAGTGACTTTTTACCCCCCGTCCAGCCAGGCAGCCAGCCAGCAAGTCCAATTCATAGGATTTCCAGTAACTAAAATGCTGGATAACAAAGATTTTACTGTATTTAGTTTTAGCATTACAAAAAGAAACATAAGAAAACCTTGTGGATACATGAAGATTGACCGAGGTGATGTATGAGATGTCGAATCCCCTAGTAAAGAAGTTACTGCAATGCGTGGAAGCTTGTCAAGGAGCACCTAAGGTTTCTGATTATAACTGATTTCAAATGGGAAATGTTTAAAAAAGTACGGTCCTATTTACAAGTTTTTAACATGAAAGAGAATTTCTGTCTTAGTAGATGATGATGTACCCATGTAGTATAGTACATGTAGAGCATGTATTAATGAACCCATGTAGTATAGTACATGTAGAGCATGTATTAATGACACTGTTCTCCTTTAGATCTATTTTTTTCTATATGAAATCATCATCAATTGTTGCATAGTGGGTACACATCTTCCTTTTGAACTTAAAGGGAATGTTTCAAGGGTTGGTTGTAGATCTCAATGTCCTACTCTTTTGTGAATGGGAGAATAGGGAGTATTGCACCGTGCTATTAGGCATCGGAGAGTGATGTCACACCTTCCTCACTTCCATAGCAATCCCATACACTCCTTCCTCTACATTTTTGAAATTGTGTCAGCCAGTCTTTTCCCTTCATCCCAGTTGTCGCTGCTAAATGCCTCATCGACTCTGAGAAGACATTGGAGTCTTTCACTTTGGAGTCAGCTGACAGCCTGGCCCACGCAAAGTGCGCTTTGGGCTGGGCAAGACTCTGGTCAGAAACATCTGGGAGAGCTCCCCATACACAGGCATGGTGCAGAGTGGCCCAAAAGGGATTTCCATCTGTAATCCCAGCCCAAAAGCCAGGAAGAAGGGCGCTGTGTGCACGAGAGCTGGTCAAACTTCTCTCCCACTGGTAGTTAGTCCAGTAAAATGTGTCAAAAAAACCCCTTTACTTTCAGATCTGATTTTTCTACTCCAATTAAATGCTTGAGCTCAAACACAATGGCAAGAGGCTACCCTTGCCGTTTGAAAACTGGACGCTGTGAACGTCCTTTTCTCGTTTGGTGTTTCCAAGTTTTTGCAATTCCAAATTTTCGCTCCCATCCTCGGTATTCATAGATTCATAGATGTTAGGGTCGGAAGGGACCTCAATAGATCATCGAGTCCGACCCCCTGCATAAGCAGGAAAGAGGGCTGGGTCTAGATGACCCCAGCTAGATGCCTTTCTAACCTCCATACAAAATACAAGGTATCTTGTCCCTAGAACGAGGGCAGGCACAACAGAGGGGCACTTTGTTACCGGGAGAGTGGGGGCCTGTCATTTTTATTCTTGGGATACTGGGAGGCCAGGGAGACATGCAAGCAACCAGGGGAAGATGAGTTTAAACAGATGGGTACGAAGAGAGGTTGGCATCCCCAAACCTGGTGGGTTTTGGTCTTTTTGTTAATGAAATCCTTAGGTTTAAGAAAAGTTTTATTCATTCTGAATATTTTCCATCTGCTGCTTTTAAAACTTCTGGAACAGCTTCTTGGTGCCAGCCGCCTTTATGACTTTGAGGATGTTGAATCAGTAATCTGGCTGATGGGTGCGACATTCTCCAACGGTCACAATATCCCCCATTTGGACAGCTCTGGAAGGCAAAGGGGAATTGGGGAAGGCGGAGAAAAAGGGGAATTGAGGGAGGCGGGGGGAAGAGGAGGGACAACATTTTAGAAAGAGATTTAGAAGAGATGACCCAAGTCCTGCAAAGCATAGACCAGAATACACTTAACATAAAATTATACTACTGAAAATAAACAGAGTGTTTGAAATATTTTTGGCAACTTCTGCTATTAAGCTAGGAAATAGCTATCAATAAGGGAAGTCCTTAAAGGAAAAACTGGCAGGTGATCTTCCATAGGTTTAGCTGTATGCAGAGACCAAGATGATGCACACAAGGAAGCATTAGACAAAGGGAAGGCAGACCTGAACATGCTTTATGGTTCAGCAAGAGCTCAATTGGCATTTTCAGCAGCCCCCAAGAGCACAGCAGGGGCTCTGCAGACCATCGTGAGTTTAGACATCATCACCAGTAAACAGGTTCAAGGTCTGCACCACCACCAGCTCAGCCCACGTCTTTCTGACAGGCCATTTCATGCTTAAAACAAATGCGACTGGGTTGCAGCGTCTCTCAAAAGATGAAGTCGAGGGTGCTCCATCTCCAACCCACAGACCACATCTGGTCTGCAAAGCCATGTCAGCCAGCCCCTGGGTCACCCCACAGCTCTGAAGATTTGGCAGCAGGTGAATGATGGCAGCGCTAAGTGCAGGTGCCCGGCTCCCAAATTTCCAGGCGTGTGGCAAGTACAGCAGACAACGCGCACCAGGTCACACCTGTGGACCAACCCCATATGCTGGGTGCAGCATGCAGGCCAGAAGGTTGAGCCCCCTTTATTAAAATATCCCCCTTATCTGACCAACTTTCAACTGACCCTTATGCTGTAGGTACTAAAAATCACTTCTAGACTTTCAGTCTTAACCCCAAGCTATAAAAGACAGGTGAAGATTTAATTCTATTTTACACATGGCAAAATGGAGGCAGAGGATAAGACCCTGCACGTGGTCACACAGCTCAGATCAAATCCTGATGCCAAGTTTGCATCCGAATGTCACTGTGTGCAGGGACCTGCCATCTCCAGGGCTCATAACAAGTTATTGTGTATCTGAGGTAACACTAGCAATGACCCATGTGAATTGTGGACCGTGCCCAGCTCAGCGGTGCTGCTGGACCGTGCAGCCCCCAAACTCCTCCGGCGCTCACCTGAAGCAGGGGGACAGGTGCACAGGCATGTTCTTGTGGCGCTTCTCAAAACGGTTGTACTTGCAGATATAATGCAAGAAATCCCTGCGGATGACAATGGTACGCTGCATCTTCATCTCCGTAACCGCACCTGGGAGAATGAGGACGAGAAAGATGATGACAACACAAAAAGAGACACAAATTGCCGATGAATCAATATTGGTTGAACCCTAAAAAAAGCTTTTGAACCCTCCGAGCTCCCAAACAGCTTCCAAGATGAGATAGCAGGTAGTAAGGAACCAAAGTAATGTTTACATGCACTAGACAAAAAGGTCCTTGCTCCCCAGGTCAAGCTTTTTGTTGCGTCTAAGGGAGCGTGACCATTTTCCTGAGGTCTAACGTGTGGTCCAGTTTGCAACACTTACTCTGACTAAGCTGGAGGAACAATGCTTATTCCTGTGTACGTTCAATGCTGAACAGCAAAAATAACCAGCTTGGCAGTGTCCACTGCAGGTTTCCCCAGTTGAGATTTGCCAGCGGGTGTACTGGAAAGGCCTTTTCATGTGGACAAAGCTCCAGACTCCAACAAAAGTCTCGATGACATGACCCGGGCTCTCAAGTGCCACCCAGTTGAATGCAAGAGCTTCTCAAAATTATACAGTAAGCTTTAACCATTAAGTTATGGTTTAGTTTATAGCTCTGTGTCTGTCTTTATTACAGACGATAAAGATGGGCTGAGTGACTTCACTCCTGCTTCCTGAGGTCATACACCCGTTTAAAGTGGACCATTTGTCTATCGATCTTCTCATTTGAACTGCAAGGCTCCTATTCTGCAGTAAGCAAAGCTGGAATCACGGCAATATGAATGAAACAGGGTTAAACTGCCACAGTTTTGGTTCGCTTAGTGCAAAACAGGAGCAGACAGACAAAGCTGAGAACTCAAATGAAACCAAGTGCTGTTACAGTTTCACTGTCCACACCCTGGAAGGGGTGCAACCAACATGCTGTTTTAACCATGTACCTGTCCCCTCTTGAATACTTAGAGAACCATAGACTTCCAAAAATAAATACATAAAAAAAATTTAAATCTTTCTGTATGCAATAAGGAGCTAAAATGCATGAATCCAACTCCAGCACAATAGGAAGAAGGGGCTGCACATTTAGTTACATCTTTTACTTGAAGCTCTGGGAGTGATCTTTGTAGTGGGCACATTGAGTTATGCTAAAGCTCTTAGTCACAGTTGGGGCCTTCCCAAAACTAAGCAATAAAATTATACAGAGTGCCTTATAAAGCAACACGAATAAAAAGGGAGTGTTGATTGGTACCCTAGGCAAACCAGGTACAACAATTTCCATAGAAGGAAACAAAACGAAAAGCTTAGTCTGATTTGCAGTATGGAACTTGAAGATTGGATAACTTGGGATAAGAAACAAGTTACAGAGGCAGTAACGCCGACTCTCGGAAATGAGAGTTGCAATTTCTAAGTAAAATCCAGTCTGGCACATGATCTTGCAAAAGGACCCTCAAATCTCGGGATTTTTTCTCCCATCATGTATAGAGCAGCGCCCAGCAGGTAAGTCTGTGGAGGGGAATGGGTGGGGGAGTAAGTGGGGTAGGGAGAGGTCATGAGACAGAGCCATGGGGGGCGGGGGTGGCTCCCCACTGCTGCATGCACCTTAGGAGAGGCATGGGGGGGCATGTGCCCCCCCTGATCTGTGCGTGGGGACAGAGGTGAGATGCCCACCGCAGGCTGGGACTCTGTGCCCTGCTGCCTTTGCCCCAGGAGCCGTACAACACCATGTTGTGCTTCCTGCCACCAGGTGGACAGGGGACATGCAGCCTGGCCCGCACAAGTGTGCTTGTCTACGGGGCTGAGCTAGGTGACCTCCCGAGTCCATAGAAAGAGGCCTCGCCAGACTTTCTATGATTCTACAATTAGATCTTTACAATCTACCTTCAAAGATATACCAGCCATCACTAGACAATATTAAGGAATCTGAAAAAAAAAAAAAAACAAACAAAAAAACACAAAAACAACCCCTAAAAACTCATGCCCCTTGCAAGTAACGTTCACTGCATTTATTTGGCCCAGAGTTTTATTTTACTGTGAATAATACCAGAAAGGTAAGAGGTAACAATCCAAAGAAAGCTCTCCACCCACATCCTGGGTCCTTTTGCTAGGCATCAGCAAAGCCTTGCGGCAGTCTCGTCAGAGCCCGTTCACCAGGGGACTTGGAAGACCATCGTGAGAACGACATCATTTGCCGCTCAAGGACCGCAGAAGAAGTAAAGACAGGAGAGAGCAGTGAATTGACAGGGGGCAGCTCCTAAGCTTTGCTCAAATTGATGCAGAGATTGAGGCTGCATGCAAAAGCCTGGAAGAGCATTTTTTTTTTTTGCCTGTGTCCATGTAACTGAAGCTCTGAAATGTTTCTTCTCTACTTGTGAAACTCAAGGTCATCCCTCATGGCTTACCTGACAGGATGCGACCACAAACAGACCCATTACCAGTGAAAGGGCATTTTTGTCAGTAGCCTAAAAACAGAGACAAATATGAGATCAGTACTCAGGAACTAGAGGCATTGAAAAAATACAGAACCACCACTGATGAGCACTACCCCTGTGCAAAAGGGGACTTTGGATAGCTACAGCACTAAAGCTGTACAGCGCTTTTTGGTGCAGCGGTTCTGGCGCTGCAAGACACAGCTCCCATTCCTGACATCAGTAAGGCCGTTTGGCAGCTGTCGTCAAAGCCCCTTCACCACTGGGACTCGGAAGACCATCGTGAGAACAAACATCATGTGTCAGGAAGGGGGAAACATGAGTTTTAAAGAACTGGTTTCTATAGCAAGCCACGCAGCAGTTTAACAAAAGCATGCAGGACTCTGACTAACTGCTGATTCTGCCCCAAATTCAAAAGAATCCTAGACAATGAGGGCTGGGAGGGACCTCAGGAGGTCGCATCTAGTCCAGTGGTTCTCAACCCTTTTTGTACCAGGACCCATTTGTGAACATCAATGGCCTGTCCTGACCCAGTGCCCCTCACCCCTGACCTGCTGCCCCGGCCCCCAATCGCACTCCCACTCCGTGTGTGGGGCAGGGGTCGGTGTAGGGAGGAGAGTGAGGGTAGGTGGGGGTGCCTGGAGCAAGGGGGTGGGCATGTGCAGACACGGTGTGGGGCAGAGGGCCACTGATTGTCATATTTTTGTCCTTTAAAAGGAGAATCCATTTTTTAAATCTGTTCATGACCCTCTTATAGAGTCTTGCAACCTACTTCTGTGTCCCAGCCCATAGGCTGAAAAAACCCCCTCAGATCTAGTACAACCCCTTGCTCAAAAGCAGGACCAGCCCCAACTATGTCATCCCAGCCAAGGCTTCATCTATCTGGGTTTTGGATGGAGACTCCACCACCTCTCTGGGCAGCCTGTTCCAGTGCTTCACCACCCTCTTCGTTTTCTGCACTTCCTCTCAAAGTTGCTCTCTATTTCCAGCCTTTAAGTGCCACTGTTTCTGTAGACTGCAGAGTTTTCCAAAGCCCCTGAACAAAGCCACATGCCCTCTCCTTGCTGTCCAGGGAAGGGACACAGTAATCTTATTTCCATGCCAAAAACACCAAGTCAGAGCTAAAGCCAGCTCTGACTGAGCTCAATGCTCTCATCTTGCACCACCTCGTACCTCTTTGGTGGGTTTTGAAGCCCAGGTCGATGCTGTGGTAGTAGCAGGGGAGAGTCTCCTTGCCCATTTGAGAAGCACGTGCTTCTTGTTCTGGAAGGTGGTGGGCTGCTTCTGGCATGCCCTCTCAGCCCGCGGGGGCAAGAAAAAGGATGTGAAAGGGGAGAGGAAGCAAGCAGAAATGCAGGCTGCACCCACAACATGGCTACCCACATCCCTGCACCAGCGATCCCCAGCCAGGGTATTGCGAAACCCTTTCAAAAGGGTGCTGCACGAGGCCACTGCCACGCACACGCAATTTCCAAGATTGAAACCCAGGGATTTCAGACAGAAACCCGCCGTCGAGGTCTCTAGGCTCTCTGCAGCAAAAACATGGCTCTTTTCCTTTCCTGTAGTACAGAAAAAGTGAAAACTATGAGCAACTGCTTTTCAAGGAACCCCAGTCCAGCCTGCCCCCAAGGTGGAGGGCAAACTGCCCCTCCTTCCAGC